AGGGCGGGCGCGGGCGGGGCGAAGACCAGCGGGCTGGACCGGACCCACCCGGCCGCGCCCGTCGCCATGGCCGCCAGCTGCGCGCCCCTCGGCGTGCGCCCCCGCGTGCAGATGCCGTGCTTGAGCAAGGTGCGTGGCGGGCGAGGGGTCCCGCTGTCCCTAGGATTCTCGGGCCTCAAGAAGGACCAAAAGGAGTCGTGGGAGGGGGTGTCGTTGAGGCGCTGGGCTGCAGGGCCCTCGGGGACCTACACCGACCCCTCCCCCGCCGCCACCGCGAGTTAATCCCCTCTGGGAGTCGGCTGATCCGGGTCCCTGAAATTGGGGAAGGGCGGGGGTGGGGAGACAGGGGGCGGCCGGGGTAGCTCCTTACGGCCTCTCTGCCAGATGGAGCGGGTGGTCGTGAGCATGCAGGACCCCGACCAGGGCGTGAAGATGCGGAACCAGCGCCTGCTGGTCACCGTCATTCCGCACGTCGTGACCGGTGAGGCCCCGCGGCGACCCTGGGGGGTGGGGTGACAAGCCTGCCTTCGCCTCCCCACCAACCTCTCCTGCGCAGGCAAGGACCTTGTGGACTGGCTGATGCAGAAATTCTCCGTCTCCGAGGAGGGTGGGTGAGGCGACACCAGGCACTGGGAGGCCAGTGTTGATGGCTAGGGCTGTGTGTACGTGTGCTGGGGGGAGGAGGGGAACTCGTCCCAGGGTACCCTTTCCTTCATTCGCATCCCCCCCCTCCCCAGAGTCCCTGCACCTGGGAACCCTCCTGGTCCGATACGGATACATTTACCCGCTTCAAGACCCCCACTGCCTCATCCTCCGACCCGACCAGACCCCCTACAGGTTCCAGGTCAGGCTCTGGACCTGGGGAAAGTGGGACTGAGATGTGGAGCCCCATGGAAGGGGTGGGGGCGGGGTGATGGAAACGTGCCAGAATAAGAGTGGGGTGGTGACATCATCAGGGGCTGGAGGTGTCCATTGCCCCTACCCTGAAATCCCTGCCTTGGAGTAAGGTAGCTTCATACCCTTCGTCCACAGCTGCATCCTACCCCCACCAAGTAGTACCATACAGGGGGGATGGAAGCATGCCTCTGGTTCTGGGGGTTTCAGGCCCCACCTCTTTGTGCCCCACACCTGAAGAGAATGGTGGGCTCTGGGCACCAGTTGACCAGCACGCTACAGCAGCCGCAAGCTGATGGCTGCCTCCCTCCCAACCTGGACCATGGATCTGGGCACCAGCCCTTGGGGGGACATCAGCTGGTGGTCAGCTGGGCCTGCAGGATCCTCAGACTCTGCCACCCCCAGCCCAGACTGGTTCCCAGGGGCTGTGAGGTAGGGGTGACTCAGTGGCCATGGCCCAGGGGTCCTGGCTGCCTTTGTCCCTGCCCATGCCAGACGCCGTATTTCTGGACAAGCAGTCTGTCTCCAGCAGCAGAGCTGGACTATGGTGAGGAGAGAAGGGGGCCCTGAGACTGGCAGCTTCAGGGAGGTGCTGCGGGGGTGTGGGGGTGTGGCGGCGTGGGATCTTCCCCTTACAGCCCACTCCCCCTTTCCTTCCAGCCATCTATCTGGCCAAGAAGAACATCCGCAAACATGGGGTCCTGCTGGACCATGAAAAGGTGGGTCCAGCAGAGGGACCCCTGGCCTCAAAGCTTGCAGTCCTGGCCCTGCTTTCGGGAGGGCCAGGATTAAAGCATGTACCTTGCCCAGACTGACCGCCTCCTGATAACCCAGCCACACAGCCCTGTCCTGGAGGTAGAGGTGGGAAGGGAGCCTGGTTCCCCCGCCCCCTACAGGCCCACTACGACCAGCTGCACAAGAAGATCAGCCACACGTGGGATCTGGTGCTGATGCAGGCCCGGGAGCAGCTGCGGTGAGGCCACGGCCTGGGCCTCCAGCCCCGCCCACCTCACACCTTGTCCCCACCCACAGCCACCGAAGCCACACCCATCCAGGCCAAGCCCTGCCCACACCACATGGCCTTGCCCTCATATGGCTCCACCCCCATCCTTAGGGCCCCTCCAGCCTGACCCACCCCTCACTGGCCACACCCACAGTCTGCCCTGGGCCGTGCCCAGGTCCACCCACGACCAGTTCCTGACCCAGGCGGCCCCCAACTTGCGTGGACCCTGCCTGGGTCGGGAGGCGCTGTGCTGGGCGCGGCTCCTCCAACCCTGTTCGACCTCCCAGGGCAGCCAAGAGGCGGCGCAAGGGTGACAGGCTGGTGGTCGCCTGCCAGGAGCAGACGTACTGGCTAGTGAACAGGCCCCCGGTGAGCCCACCCCCTCTCTTCGTCTAAGCCTCTCAGGGTCCCTGGGGCATAGGTGTCAAGGCCAAGCCTGGGACTCAGAACTACAAGGCGGGTGGGGAGGAGGGGAACCCAGGGGGCCTGCTTCTCTCCATGGTCTGATTGAGGGCACTCCAAGTCCAGGGTGGGAACCCTCTCTAGGCAGCAAATGTGGGGCCCTGATGGGTGGCCTGAGATCTGCTGTGAGGGGGATGAGGTGACCAGGTCAGCTGGGGCAGCCACAGGGACATTGTTGTGACCACTGGGGAGAAGCCCACAGAAAGGGGGGAGGGACCAGTGGGCTACCGATCACATGGGCAGGTGGATGGACACAGCGTTGAGGGCGAAGAGCAAGGGTCACAAGGGTGAGGGTGGGGGTCACAGGAGGCGGCCGAGGGGTTAGGTCTGTCTGGGGCCACTCAGGGTGAGTGGGTGAGGCTGCATGAGGGGGCCCCAGAGGTGGGTGAGCAGGTCAGAGGAGGGAAGTCACCAAGGAAAAGTGCAGAGGTGGGCAACCCTGGGCACAGCATGAGGGGGCCATGGAGCCCCTTAAGCTGAGCGTGTGGAATCCCACGGGCTGCAGATTGTGGGGTCTCAGTGACTGCTGCTCTGCAGCCCGGGGTCCCCAGTGTGCTGGAGCAGGGTCCAGAGCGGGGCGTAGGCAGCCCCAGCCGAGTGCAAATGGTGAGCACCCCATGCACCTCCTCTACCACCAGTGCTACCCCACCCCTATGCCCGGGCGACTACTGTTAACTCTTTGGGGCCTCGTGTTTGGGGGCTGTTTGTCTTCCTGTCCTGTCACCAAAATGGCATAGCCTGTTCCAGGGTGGGCCCCTGGTCAGTCCCCTGGCCTCGCCTCCTTCTGTCCCCCCTAACTGTCTCTTTCCCCCTCTGCTGCCTGTGATACAAGTAAGTGCAGTGGACACTGGGGAGGGGGAAGGGGCACTTCTCAGGAGCAGGTTGGTCAGCAGAGAGCTGGTGGAGACCACCCAGCAGCAGCAGGCTTGGGCATTCCTGAGTGTGGATGAGCCGGGAGGGCCCATGGCCATCTAGGGCTCTCCAGATAGCAGCCAGGGGGTCCCAGCCCTGCCCCTAGGTCTGAGCACAGTCACAGTGGGCTGAGCCTGGGGTCTCCGTGAGCAGCATGCGGCTGTGTGGAACCCCACTGGGCGTGTGTTTTAAAGAATCATTAAAACACATCTGAAAACAAAATATTAACTCACATTTGGAGAGCCTCAAGCTACTTGGGAGCTGGAGGGCCCCATGGAATAGTCTGGAAGTCTGCTGTTTAGAACCCCCCACCTTCGAGGGGCCTTGGAGAGTCAGACTTCCAGGAGAGGGGGTGGGGGAGGGCAGGGGCCTGAGTGAGAGGAACCGGGCTGAGCTGCTCTTGGGGTCTCATCAGGCCTTCTCCTGACTCAGCTCCTCGGCCTCTTGCAGACAAAGAACTCGGACTTCTACAGGCGGGAGGTAGGTCCCGGGGAAGGGGGAGAGGAGCCGGGGGAGTTGGGACTAGCCCGGGCAGTGTCCTAGCCCAGGCCTGCCTCACGGGCTGCGGGCTCCCGTCCCTCAGGTGGAGCGCTGCCGACTGGCTCTGGGCAGGAACCGGGTCAAGTCCTCTGTCTGCATGGAGGCGTGAGTGGGGCATGTGGCCGGAGACCCCAGCTGGAACCCAGTCCCTCCCTTGGCCCCACAGTCCTGTCTGTGGCCTCTCCCTCCCCTCAGGTACCTCAGGTTCAGCAGCCAGTATGGGCCCCACGACCCCATCATGGCAGGGTGCCTCCCGAGCAACCCCTGGATTACAGACGATGCGGCCTACTGGGCCCTGAACGCACCCACGTGAGCTGGGGCTGGGCTGAGGCCGACGGGGGCCTGGGGGGCTGTGGCCTGAGTAGGCAGTGACCCCTGACCACCCCCAGGGTGGCCGTGCCCACGAGGCTACGTGTGGCACGATGGGCCTTCAGCTTCTCAGAGCTCCTGGAGGACCCCATGGGGCGTGCCCAGTTCATGGAATTCCTCGGCAAGGAGTTCAGCGGTGAGGAGCTCAGGCCCCATCCCCACACGCTCCCCGCCTTGTACCCTGGACACCCCTGACCTGCTGTGCCCTCCAGCCGAGAACCTCAGCTTCTGGGAGGCCTGTGAAGAGCTGCGCTGTGGTGGCCAGGCCGGCGTCCCTGCCCTGGTGGATACCGTGTACCAGTGAGTGTGGTGGGCACGGAGGCTGCCAGGAGGTGGCTGCCTGGCTGAGACCCACAGGCATGTCCCCCCAGGCAGTTCCTGGCGCCCGGGGCAGCCCGCTGGGTCAACATCGACAGCCGGACCATGGAGCGGACATTAGAGGGGCTGCGCCGGCCGCATCGCTATGTGCTGGACGATGCTCAGCTGCATATCTACATGCTGATGAAGAAGGTGGGTGTGCCCGGCGCCCCTCCGGGCGCCCACCTCACCACAGCGTCAGTGTTCAGGGCAGGCTGTTATTTACTGCTTTCTAACATGTCACTCACCGGGTACAAGGTCACATTGACACACAGGGCCTTCCCAGCCCCACCTGCCCCCACTGTCAACCATTTACCAGGGGGTGGGCTGAGGAGGCTCCAGGGGAGGCTGGGCTGAGAGCTTCCACCCCTTCTAGGACTCCTACCCCCGGTTCCTCAAGTCCAACTTGTACCAAGCGCTGCTGGAGGGGGCTGTGGTTGCCCCCGAGGCCAAGAGACGGTGAGTGCTGGCTGTGCCTGTGTGCCCATGCCCCCCCACACCCCCAAGACACTCACCCACTTCTTGTTCACAGTGTGTTCCCATTCATGAGGAAGCCTCGCTGCTCCAGCCCCACCCTCCTGCCTGCTTCTGGGGAGCCCAGAGGAGCTGCCCCTGAGGGTGGGGATGGGGAGGCCTAGGTGAGGGTAGCTATTGGGCCCCTGGCCTTCTCCCAGGCAGCCCTCTCTGCCCAATGCCCCGTGGGCCCTAGCACTCACGGTCCACCCTCCTGGTCTCAACTCCTTCCAGGTTCAATTCCCAGGGGGAGGTACTGCACTGGACTGGGGGTGGGTGGGCTGAGTACATCCTCAGCCACTGGGGGCCTGCACCCTGGGCCCACTTACCCTCCCTGAGAAGGGGGCTCGTGAGCCCTGGGTACCTACAGACTCAGGATCACTAGGCCAGTCCGGACTCTAGGCCACTGACACACAGCCAGTGGTGGTACCCACAGGGAAGTTGGCATCGAGCCAGGCCCACGCACAGTCTGCCTGCACTGTCCTCTACTGACTGAAGTCTCAAGCCGGTTCTGAAGACACCCAGCTTACGGTGACCCTGCAGCTGCCTAAGGTCCCAGCTCTGCCCCAGCATGACCCCTAGCTGTCCAGGGTCCTAGGTCCAAGTCCGTGGTCCCTAGTTGCTCACACTGCAGGCTCTGCACCCATGACCCCTAGCTGCCCAGGGTCCAGCAGGATGTGCCCATAACCCTATAGACGCCCCGCAGATCTGCATACAGATGGCTCTGCTGGCTGACCCCCAGAGGAGCACTGGGCAGGTCTCTGCCGAGAGGGGCAGTGCCTTTGTGGTAGTGGACCTCAGGTGCTCAGTCCCTCCTCTCAGACACGGCCCAGAGGGCCTGCCCTTCCCCAAGAAATAAATGACCTTGGCACAGGCCTGGTGTATTGCATGTGTGCCCATGCCGGTGCACGTGTCGGTGTGTACCGGTGAGGGTGAGGATATCACAGGCTGTGCGGGGCTGAGGACTATGGAGACAGCTTTGCAAGGTGCCTGGAGCATGTCCTGATGCGTGGGGTCAGTCATGCGGGTCACAGCAGGGCAAGTGGAGCCTGGAGATCACTAGGCCGGGAGAGACCCCACGCCCTATCCATCCACTTGAGGCTGTGCCAGCCTCTGGGGCCCACAATGACAGGGCAGCAAAGTCCCTGGGCCACAGGTAGAGGGACTCCCGTCACTTCTGAGGGGACCCAGGCCCTGGCCACTCAGAGCCCCACCTGCCCTGCAGCTGGTGAGAGGCCTGTGGGCAGTGCTTCTGGGGACCCCATGGGTGTCCAAGCCAGCAGTTTCAGTCGGGATGACTGTCACAGCACCCCTTATATGTGTGGCAGGCACCATCGGTGTGGGGCCTTCTCGGGGACTAGGACCTGTGTCCTGGCAGGAGCCCCTCTCTAGACCCCCGTTTGACTGACAGGGCATCCAGGGCTGTGTCTGGGAAGCTTCTGGGGTCCCTGCGCTTTGGAGAACCTGCAGCACACAGCCTGGGCAGCTCTTAGACCCACACACCGCTCAAGACTGCACCTCATTAGCTCAGATCTGCCTGGTCTGGGAGGGGGGCTGAGTAGGTGCAGGGGCCCCTGTCCCTCCTTGGCTGCCCCTCCCATACCAATCAGAAGCCTGGTCAGCAGCCTTGTGTCCTCTTCCCTGGCCTACCACCTGGGCCCTGCGACCAGTGCTCTGCCCTCCTCAGCAGACACACAGGGGTCACCCCTCCCTTGCAGCATATACAGAGGCCACCGCTCCCTGGGCTTCCGGATAGGACAGTGCACGGTTTATTCACTGGTCTCTGGTGAGCGCCCTCAGCCCGGACGCAAGGCACAGAGTGATGCTGGGATAGGCAGCCAGCTGCCATGGCTGCACTGGGGAGGAGCAGGTCACAGTATAAACCACCAGCACACGGCCCTCCTCACAGGCCGGGTCAGGGCCATCAGTGCAACACTCAGCCACGTAGGAGGCGCCCTGGCACAGGGACGGTGCTCTGAAGGGACGGGACCTGTGGGGATGCCTGGGACCGCACGAGAATGGCTTTGGCCTGGAGAGAAGTGGTGAGGGCACGGAGTGAGTCTAATGGTGATGGTCAAGGAGAGGGAAGAGGGCAGCTGGCCCCAATGCCCCCCATCCATGCCGGTGGGCATGGCCCCCAGGGTGGTGGGGGCACGAGGCAGTGACCCTGTGGCAGCACTGCCAAGAACCAGGGCGGTCTGGAGACCAGGCAGACAGCTTTCTGGAGATTTAATTCTGGCGTCAGGCCTTGCTCCGGTAGCGCAGCCGGGAGAAGCGGTCTCTGATGGCTTGGTCGCTTTTGGCCTGGTCATGACCCAGGCGCATGACCCTGCTGCTGGCAATGCTGTCTCTCACTTTGTGCTTGGCCAGGGAGACCAGGCCTGGGGCAGCTGGGCTCTCAGGACCCGTCAGCAGGACGTAAGCAGCGTGGCGGCTCGGCTCCAGCAGGACCGCTGTGGGGACACGGCCATCAGCGCTGCCCCATCCTGACCTGGACCCCTGTCGGGACCCCAGACCCCACGAGGCACACTCACCTGTGAAGGCCACAATGTTGCCGGAGATGTTGGTCAGCTCCAGGCGGACGCTGGGCAGAGTGGGGTGGACCATGTAGAGGCTGTGGGGGGTGTCCCTCGTCTCCTGGTGTAAGAAGACCCAGAACTTAGCTGGCCACCCCGATGCCAGCCACCCCTGTGGACACGCTGGGTCAGCAACCATGCCAGGGGCTGTGTCCACTGGGGTCCTACCAGGTAACCCCCAAATGCCAGCTGTCTTTTCCCCCAGACATGCCTGCCCACCGGACCCTGATTCCTTCCTGTGACTAGACCCCCAGGTGCTCAGCCCTGCCCACATGGCTCCCCATGGTCAGCTTCAGGGTGGTCTGTTTCTCCGGTGTTCTTGGTCCAGTGTGGCCCACACCTGTCTGTGTACCTCCCCACCACACCCATGTGTACGCCCCCCTCCAATACCGTCTGGTTTGTGCTCTCCCCCTCGGGGAAGCCCCAGAAGAAGAAGGCTGAGCGGTGGTCTGCTGTCAGCAGGCTGGCAGATGGGGGGCTCCTGAGGAGGCCGGGGACTGGCTGATGCCACAGGATGGCACCTGTGCTGAGGTCCAGGAGCAGGATCTGGGAGGAGAGTGGCCATAAGCAGCAGTCAGGGCCCCTCCCCACCAGCAACAGTCCCAAGGCAGGTGGGCCATGAGGGTGGCAGGCGGGGCCCTTGGGGTCCTACCTGTCGGTCGGTGCTGGTTCCATTCTCAATCATCACTGCCACGGTGTCTGGCTTGTAGTGACCAAGGACAGGTTTCCTAGAAGAAGAGCAGGTTATTAACAGAGAGGGTCTCTGGAGCCTGCGCCCCACCCTGTTCCCCCCAGGACAAGCACCCCATGTTCATTCCTAGGGGCAGGCACCCCCACCTTGGGTTGCGCCCCCTGCCCCGGCAAGCACCCCTAGCCTGCTTCTGCCTGGGCTACACCTAGAGACCTGGGGGAGCTGTGGGGTTGGGTCCTCTGGGAGGGCTGACGCCATGCTACAGCCAGAGCTGCTTGTGGCCCCTGCACACACCTGGAGACCTGGACATCAGCGAGGGTCCATCTGGGCGTCAGGTCCTGTCCGTTCAGCAGCACACAGGCCTCCGAGCCAACGAGAAGCAAGTCTGAAGCAGCCCCCAGGCCAGGGATGGCCAGCTGATACAGGATGGCTCCGGGGCTGGGGGCACAGGCCTCCATGAGTGACCTGGGCCCCTTGGCCTATCACGTACCCTTCTCAGAACAAGAGGAGGGACGCCCAGTCCACCCGGGGCCTCCTTCCCCATCACGGTCCCCATGGGGGGCGTTCTTGAGTGGAAGTGCCCCCGCCCCCGCCCCGGGTGCAGGCGGGCTGAGCACGGACCTCGCTAAGGATACCCTGTAGGTGGAGGCGTTGATGGCACGCTCCCACAGCACGTCTGTCTGGAGGAGGCTTGCTGCCCCTGTCACCTCCTCCAGCAGACTCTTCACAGAGCGGCAGCAGAGGGACCCGGCTGTCCAGGACACAGGGGCAGTGTCACCCCAGGGCGGGGTGAGGTGCAGCTCTGCCCACTTCCCTCCCCTCCCCCAGCCCCCCCTTCTAGGTTCCCCTGGAGCAGCTGTACCCCCAGCCTCCCTCCCACCTGGCACCCACCGCAGGGGAAGAGCAGGTAGTGGGCGCCAGTGCCAGTGATGTGCAGGAGCGCGCTGCCCTCACAGTCTGCGCCAAGGCGGCCTCTGCCGCCCACCGGGCTCCCGCTGCTGCCCGAGTAGAAGTGGACACTGGCCTGCAACGGCAGAGGCCCTGCTGGCCCGTGGTGCCCAGGTGGAGGCCCTGGGTCCAGCCTGGGTTGGGGTACGGGGGCAGTGCAGGGAGGGTAGGATGTGGGGGTATGGGAGTGGGGGGCGCAGAGGGTGGGGGTGGTGGGGCGAGCCTGAGTGTACCTCCTCCTCCTCCCTGGTGAGGACTAGCAGGTCTGAGAGCCCGTCGCTGTCCACATCAGGTGCCCAGAGCATGTCACTTAGGGTGGACGTGTTTGCGCCGAGGCTGTCTGCACGGCTCCACAGGGTGTCCCCTACACAGAGATACTGCCCCTGAGTGGTGCCACCCAGCTCGTGGCCCCTGGGCACAGCCTCATGGGGAGCCTCAAAGACTGGGGCTCGGCAGGCTCACAGCACCCTCAGGCGGAGCACCCTGGTGGGGTTGGGAGGATTTGGTGTGATGGGGAAACACACCGGAGGCCCATGACTGGGTGGCCTGCGGCCTCCTCTCCTCCCTGCTTATCTCTCCGAATCCACTCCATGATGGAGGGCCTGGCGCCTTTTCAGACACTCAACACGCGGGTTATGCCACTGGGCAGCTGATGGTCAGGGGTCAGCAGGTGGGAACCACCCAGTAGCTCCATGGGAGAGAGCAGGGGCTCTCTATTGCTGTAAAATGTTAGTCTCGGGAGAGAGTGGGGCAGAAAGAGGGAGCCGATTACAGGGATCTACATAAAACCCCTTCCCTGCGGGACGGTCAACAAAAAAGTGGGTGAAGGGAGACATCGGTGAAGGGAGACATGGAAAAATAATGATCATTTATAAATTATCAAGGGAGGAGAGATGGGGAGGGAGGGGGGAAATGTGGAGCTGATACCAAGGGCTCAAGTAGAAAGAAAATGTCTTGAGAATGATGATGGCAACATATGTACAAATGTGCTTGACGCAATGGATAGATGGATGGATTGCGATGAGAGTTGTACGAGCCCCCAATAAAACGATTTAAAACAAAAATTAGCCCCAGAAACTCACAGGGCAGTTCTGCCTTGGCTTCCAGGGTCCCTGTGAGTCCGAATGGACTCAGCACTGGGGCTTTTTGGTTTTTTTACTTGCAACATTTTATTTGTAGTTTAAAGAACAGTTTTAG